GCGGGGGGGAACACTGCTCCACGAGCACAGCAAACCCCCCTGACCTTTATCCTGGGCCATGACCGGCCTGCACACCCTGCACCGCGCTCCTGCGCTGGTTCCTCGTGTCCCTCTCCTGTCCCTCACTGGTTCCAGGTGTGAACAAACAGACGTGAAGCTCGTCTGCCTGAAGCGGGCAATCCCAAACTTGTGAGACTTCTGACATTCAAATACAACATCAAGCATTTGTTAAAAAGCAAAGTGCCAAGGATGAGTTGCAGCTCCGCCACCCCCAGCACACGCAGCCAGGGCTGCCGCAGCCCTCGCAGACTGCTCCGCAGCCTCCCCGCGCTCCCAGCGGGCATACAGTCGGTTCGATTGTGGTACTTCCCAGGTGGGAACTACACTTCCCACAGGGTCTAACGTTTTGGGCCTTGCGCAAGCCACAATCCTCCTTGCTCCACTTCCACACACAGCAAAGGTATTGCCCGACGCTGGTCTCTGACGGCTTGGGTACCGCCACACTGATGGAGCTGCCGGCACTGAGAGGGGGGATGCTGAACCTGAATTTAGGAGTAGCACCATGTTTCAGACGCCAGCAGTACAAATCCCTCCCAAGCTGACCAAATCCCTGTGAACAACCTTCCGCCTTGGTGCTCTGACGGCTAGCCCCAATGGCTGGCCACCAAAACAGTAACTGCTGGGTCAAAATAATTTCTCACGGAAGAATCAATCCTTCCCCACCCCTCAACTCAGAGGAAGGAATCCATGTCAAATACAGAAGACAAGGAAATGCTTTGACACTGCCATCCCTACCCATCTCATATTTAACCAAAAGACCGAAGAACTAAACTAGAAAATAATTTTGCCTGGCACCCCATTGCACCTACGCTGACCTGAATGCTGCTGCTGAAGTTTAATCTGACGTTGCACAGTGCCACAGGTACCGCTTTGCCAAACACAGCCAAGAATTTAGGTGATACAACTTCAGTTGTTTGCTTTACTCATAAATTCACAAGTCCAACAAAATCCAACAAAAACTGGTATTAGGCCTGTACAATCCATATATAAAAAGGGTTGGTTTATTGTAGTTCAAATACATAAACTGAACAATCCCAACATTTCAAAATTAAACTTTAGAAACACAAGTTTAACATTCAAAACAGGAGTATAGTTTACAAGAATTGCCCAGAGGGGAAATCCACAGTCTAATCCAGAAGTATGTAAAGATCACTTTATCGTAAATAAAAATGTGTTTATAGAACCGTCCTGTTCTGCTCCGGTAACCACTGTTATTTACCAAGTGTTTCCAACTTCCAGTAAAAATTCTCAGACAAATCTTCACTTGGGCAGAGCAACCTGATTTTGCTTCTAATTCATGGATAGGGTAAGGAACAAAGCAGACCTGTGAACAAATTTAATTTGGTCTCTAATTCTCCTCTCTCAGTTCTAACTCTGGCTTTAATGGATCTAGTTCCACTTACAAGGGTGAAAGGAAGCAGAGAATTGGGGCTTGTATTCCCAGATCATGGTCTTCGGTATTCAATAATTTAAGCTATCAGACAGCATTTCACCTCCTCAGCCAGGGACCGCGGACAAGCACCGGGCAGCTGGTGGCACACATGTAGTACGAGTTCAAACCACAAGCGCGATCATCCGTAAGACTCACACGTACAGCACCGCTGAGAAGAAAGCCTCCACATACCAGACATCCACACCTCACATACGGACACCGCACTGCTCCGAGAGCTGAACCTACCAAACGCAGCCCACACGTTCGGATTTCTGGCAGCCATGCCCCACAAAGAAACTCATAAATACCTTTAACGCGGGTTTTTGGTGTTGGGTTCCCCCCCCACCCCGAGACCATTTTATGTTCACAAATGCTGCTTCTTCCTCTGCTCCTCTGATGGTTTTGCAATATATTCACGGTAATGTATATGTATAAACCTGACAGATGGCTCATGCAAGCTTTTTGATTTAACAGTTACCCTTGGCTTAAAGAGTATTTCGTAACTATTTTGTTGTTCGTCTTGTAGGCTCTGAAGCTGTGGGAGGTGGAGGTGGGCCCCGACGGTCCAGGTCATCTACGTAGGACACAATGAGCTTACGTCTCTCTTCTGGTACGCAGTCAAGTACCAGGTATCGCTTGTCGTTTTGTAATATCTTCTCTACGTCTTTCAGGTGCTGATCTGACTCCTGGATCAACTTTTTGGATCTGAAAGCAAGCATAGGAATTACCACCCGAGAGTGGCCCAGGACACACGGAATGCCCCGGGACGGGCCCTGCTCCCGGCGGCAGCGGCTGCAAGGAGCTCAGAGAAGCTGCCCTCGCCCTAAGGAAGTGCAGGTAGAGCCAACAGAAAGGCAAAGCAGGGAAAGGTGCAGAGACCTGGGTATCTCCTTAGCTAGAAAGAAGCCGCTTTAGGTCAGGACTAGGTACATTAACAGGACTCTATGCACAGGAAATAAAGGCTTGTTGCCTACATTTGTGCTACGTTAATTAAGCACCATGGAAGACTTATGTCTGCCTGCAATGGCCTTGTACAGCGCTACATGAGCCATACAAATGCTAAAACCTAGAGAGGACAAAAAATAAAAATCAGAGTTTTAAATTCAGCATCTAAATGAGGCAAACAATTAGAATTTGGGCGTGGAAGTCTCAGCTGCGATGAGACCGTGTCCACTGCACCAGCATAGAGCACGATCATTCAGCTCACTGACAGCAGCACCGCCTGAAACCAGAACTCCAATACGCTGCAGCGCTGACTGCAAAGGAACCACGCGGTTCGTTAGGATCCAAAGAAATCAATTGCATTTTCTGCTTCTGAAGTGAACTTGTGTTTCTGATAGGAAACTTGTTTTGGTCCATACCCAAGGTTCTGTATCAGCCTTACCATCCCCTGAAGCTGAGCGAAGAAATCAACTGCTTGTAAATCTGCTCCCATAAGGCACACCCTTGCACGAAATCCTCCCACAGAAACCAGGCAAGTTATTTATGTTTTTTTTAAATAAAATTTCTTCGCTGCCTGTATTTCTTTGCTGTCTACTCCAAAGTCCTGAAACAGAGTCCTCACTTCAGTATTGATCCCTCCTGAGTCTAAACCGAGGACTAACACAAACATGAAAGACGGCCCTCACCACGAAATGAATTTAATGCCTGACAGCTCAGAGGAGTATTCACAGAATACTATTCCAAAGCCAAAGAGAACCTTGAACCTGGGCTGGTCTGATTTTCATTACTTGTTAGTCAGCAGCAGAAATGTCAAAATAAAACAAGAAGAGGTCTCTAGCTGCTGCAGAGTTTTTTTTGACAGGTTACAAAAGGTTGGTAAAAGTGTAACTTAGACACAATGTATGCTAGGATTAAAAACAGACATCAGTTTGTTGCCATTTTTATGGAAAAGCACAACAAAAAGATTAGTCCTTTGTTGACTTGATGCTACACACCTGTATGTTATAAATTTGGTCTCTTTCAATAGTGTTCGGAAGTCAGCTTTGGCAGTAATGTATTTGTCTCTAATGTATTCCTCAAACTCCCTTTGTTTTTTCTGAAAGAGAAGAGATAAGCTTAAAACACTGAATGCAGATTAAGTATTTCATGCAACTTAACATACTGAACATAAGCAATAATCACACGTTAATTGTATTTGTCTTAATCTTTTACATTTTTAATTTTAAGAAACCTTATTTAAACAACAACATTTCTGTTCACATAAAGCAGAAACCACTTCAGCAGCCAGTAAATTACTTTATATCCTGCACTATACTGGAAGTTAGCAAGTGAAGCAAACAGCTTACCCTGTCACTCGAAGAAAATTTAATGCACCTTGGATCTTCTTTAATGATTTTTTTCACTTCTTTCCATGTTGATGTTAAAGTTATCTTTCAAAAGAAGCAAAAATAGTTAAATTAAATTAAAAATACATTCTAAGAATACAGAATGTAAGTATTACTACACCTGAAGTTTTAAGTACCTCCCAAGTCCACTGACAAAGTTGTTGCTGTATTTTTAGGTGTTGGGTTTTGATTGTTTATACCACTACATTTGTATTTTTAATTAGTTGATTGCATGTATTTACTTTTCTTTAGTATTTTGAGATGGCACTTTCAGATCTAAGTCCTCACAAACATCTTTTACATCCCAAAGTCATTTTCTTGCACATATTTATGTATATGAACGTGTTGTTAAAAATTACCTACAGAAAACTTGCTTCAGAGTTGCATGTCTGTCATTTTATTCCTTCACACTAAAAATCTGCCTAATGTTCTAAGCACTTTTAACTAATGCATTAAAAATTAGGTCAAAACTTCTGTGTTAAAAGATGTGCTAACTTCAGTCAGCTTTAACTAAAAAAGAGCAAGACTCACTAAAACCCCACGATACACAGAATAGGTGCTAGATTTCCATAGCATTACACAGAATAAAAGTTCAGGTTCA